AATCGGTCATGTGTGACACACTGGTCTTACAAATTGGGAGGCTTTTCAGTTAGTGTAATTTATTCTTTTCTCAAACATAGGTAATATAATCTGCACATAAGGTTAAACTCGTTTTTAGAGAGGTTTTGATATAATTTTGAGATTGATATCTTTCTGAGGCTCAAACAGTCTTTGTCCGGACTGAATTTCAAAATTCTTTCAAGCTTGAACCTTGGTGGTAATTCTTTTTACTTCTAAATCTTTATATTTTTGGTTCTTTCTTTTCTGTTCTTCAGTTTTGGTTGGAATTTCTATCATGTTATTTCCATTAATCAGTGTGTAAGATACCGTACTGCATGCATGTATCCAAATCATATCTAAGTCCCCTACTCTAAATCAGTTACTGTCTTGTTTATCACCATTAGACTATATATAGACTTCTTGAAGTGAGTACAGATCAAAGAAAGACCACAATCCATCCCATATTGCCAATAACAGATCCTCATTGCCAAGATGTTTTAAAAACAGAATACAACATTTGTCATTTATTTATTCCTCTTTGAAGAAACCAAAGTGTAACTCAAAATAGTGGAATGAACACATGAAATGTAAGCCATGTAGCTCATTTAGTGCACCAAACCAGGAAAAGGGCCAAGTCGATCACCAAAGGAAAAGAAACAGCATGGTTTTCATCATGCGTGGAAGTTATCACACTATCAACTCAGAGAGATAATTGTCACCAAAGTAATGAAATATGTAAGCAAAAAAATGCTTTCTTTACCATTTTCCTTGCTGAAAATTTTGCTTCTTAGCACCAGAAGGCAATGTATAATTTCGAACCAAAGAGGCTATAACACCAATCTGCAGATGCACTCATCAAGTATCAGATAACTAAGATTAATTAGAACACAACTAACATGACTCCAATATAAGAGGACGTGCATCAAAATTTACGATTACTTCATCTACATCAGATAACTAGCTATGCATCTAAGTAATATTCAGGTAATCTTCCATATAGTCCAACATCTTCCGTCCTCTCTCCCCTTGTTCCTTTTTTATTTCCAGATCATCTATGCACTTTCATTCCCAACCATTCTATTCGTATCTTTTTAATTTGCGCTACTATAGAATTATCCATTAAACACAGGCAGAGCTACAGCTTCGACCAAAACCAGTAGGTTCGGCTCAAATCTTGTATTTGCGTTTAAGAATCCACCTAATATGCATAAATAAGTTATCAATAACTTAGTAAACACCGTTTTCTAGAATCCATACACTCAAATTCCTAGCTCACCCTTGATTAAACATGGTTTAGCAAATCATGTAAGTTATCTTACATTTCCCATAACATCAACTATAATGCCAGTTTTTCCCTCTTTAGTTACACATCAAAAAGTTCCCTATATCGCCATAAAAACACAAATATAGCATCTCATTTCCAATTTTAAGTTTTTTTTCAATCCGAATTCTATAAGCAAGATCTCCGACCTAGCTATTTCCCCTAATTCCCAAGCGAATTATATTAACTGAATTACGATATCAATTAAACAGTTTAAAGCATTTTGGAAAAAGCAATTATAATCACAGTAGTAACAATCACGGCAACAGTTTCAACAACAAAAACGCAATATGTTAAACATATGATAATAAGAGTAGATACGAAAAGATATGCAACAGATCGTAATTTTACGTACTGGATTTCCGAGAAGAGATAGTTAATTTCACCGGCGAGAGATGTTGAGATCGACAGGGATGGGTGATATTTTCCGGCGAAGATCAAAGAAGAAGTGAAGAGAGAATCGGGTATAAACGGTGATGGTAGTTGAAGATGGGCTTAACGATCAACTATTATTGGGCTCAATGTTTATGGGCCTCTTCTTAACCAATTTGAAGTTTAGTAAAATAGTACGATAATTGAGGTATAAGAAATAACGAGCGATAAAAGAAATTGAAGGACGAGAAACTATATGAGTAATGCTAGGACTACTAGTGTGGACGTATAGCAAGACGACACACACTACTGCCTACTAACTTCTTTAGCCTAATACGTGCCTTTCAAAACCTTATATCTAAAGTCGTATCCTTATTAAGTCGAAAATGTGTCATGTTCTATCTAATTACCTCTCTCCAAATACTTCTTCGACCTATCTCTACCTTTTCGAGGCCGCCCATTATCAACCTCTCACACCTTCATATTGGGACATTCGTGCAGCTCCTCTTTACATACATTAGCCTTGCTTTCTACATCTTGTCCTTCATCAAAATCACTCTCATGCACCTTGTCTCCGAATATCCTCGTTTCTAATCATGTCTTATTATTATTCCCACACATTCATCGCAAACATTTCATCTCCGTAGCTTTCATATTTTGAACATGAAAGTTCTTGACTAATCGACACTCTATCTCATACTATACGGTAGGTTTAACCATCACTTTTTGTCAAACTTGCCTAGCATTTTTTTCTTTCCTTATACTTTATGTCACGAATATACAGGTATCATATTGTTAAACAACGTAAATATATATGTATAATTTTTTTTTAATCAAGAAATATATCCATTTCAAATCACAAACTTAACGTTATATTTGCGCCTTTTCCATAAAGTATATATGATTTTTAAGGAGTCTAGATTTAATAATAGACTAATTGAAATACCCTACTTTATAATTCACCAATAATAATGATGACTACCTAATTTCTAAAAGGGGAATAATTCTAGGAATAATGCTATTCTATGAAAACTTTTGATAATGACATTGTTTTGAAAAAATTATTTCTCTACTTTTTCTTTTTTTTTAAAATTTGTGGTCTTCATTGTTCTAACTCTTAATCTTAAGAATAATCCATCACAAAATTCTCTAATTTCAATCAGTTCAACTTGCAATAATTTTGGGGCTTAGCTTTTTTCTAATTACTTTAGTTGATTTTGAATTGAAATATTGATATATTAACAAATTTAACATTCTTTTTTTTCTAGTAAAATTCAATATTTCAAAGGGAGAGTGTGGAAAGGGAATCTGTGCTAATGTTAACGTCAAAGTTATATAATTGAATTCAAATTAATAAGTTAAATATACCAGCTGTCTGGAATAAGTTTTTATGTATATTTAAATTAAAATTCTATTCGTAAATATAATGATATAAATCTATTTTGATTGTGACATTTATTGACTAAACATTGTAAATTTCACAAATTAATGTGAAGTAGTTGTGTATTAAAAAAAAACTTTAGGTCAAAATCAACATTATCTAAAAAATCTAATATAATTCTTTATTTATTGATAGTGAAATCCATTTTTTGAAAATATCTCATGTATAAAATTCAATCACTTGTGGTCCACAAAGCCAACATTTTCTCATCTTATTTATTGTCTTTATGATTTGTTAATCATCCAACAATAAAAATAACACTAATTTTAATTTATTTCTCGTTCAATATCAAATATCTGATTTTTAAATTTATATTAAATAAAATTTATTGAAGGAGGAAATATTTTTTCTACTAGAATTTTTTTTTTAATTCTAAAATTTAAACAAGAGACTTCTGATTAAATCTCGAATTTCGTCATTAATTTTGCATAAATATATTGAAAATGACTTATTAGTTAAAAAAAAGTCCAATCTATTTGATAATTTAATAACATTTAAGCTACCTTGGTCCCTCCACGTGGCACCACCACATGTGCCAGACAAGGACATATAAAGATTTTTCTCACATTACTAAATTATAATTATGTATATATTATATTTAATTGCCATTTGAATTGGAGTATTTTTCAATTTGAATTTCTTTCAAGTAAAAAAAAAATTAATTAATATGCAATTTGTTTTCAATAATTATATGTATAAAATTAGTAGAGTCCCACCAACAAAACTTAATCCCCACAACACAACCAAAAAAAAAAAAAAAACACTTCAAAGTTATTGCAATGTCACTAAGGAAACTTCAAAATTTGTGTTTTGAGTGAGCAAAAGGAAAATTCCTTTCCTAGTACCAAAAGGAAACTTCAAAAGTTAGTCAGATCAGACACGTTTGATATTTATATTAAAGACTTGATTAACTTAAATGTGCTCTTATAAAGCCTCGATTGCTTGAGCAAGGAAAAATCATTTCCAAAAAGTCAAAGAAAACTCCCACATTCAATTCAGACCTCCACTCGTGTTGAATTGTCTTAAGATCAAATATTTTAAATACGAATCTGAAAATGAAAAAAATAGTGATATTGAGCGTTTATCCGTTTAGTGGACCCCACACAAAGCATATCTTAAATAAATCAAGCTTGTAGATCGCATAACAGTGAATGTCCAACTAAAAAACAAAAAGAGAAAGTCATAAAAATTCAAAACATATTCTACTGTCCAAGTGAAAAAGATATATCAAGAGTCTTGTTTGGGAGTAGGTGGACAAATGTAAATTATTTTTTTCAGTATAAAAAACAACCATCTTCATAGAGATCCTTTTAAGACAAGCAACCTTTATTGTGACAATGACAACAGTTGCAAGAAACTAGGAAAGCCACACATACAACATATGTAATTCAATAAGTGGCGTCTGGTGTGTACCGAGCTTTATCTTTAGCTTGTGAACGTAAACAGGTTATTATCGATTAAATCCTCTACCTTGTGAAGGTAGACAAGTTATTATCGATTGAACCCTCTGCTCAAATAAAGCATATCAAAATCAATATACTACCCTCCCACAGAGATGGCCTTGTGGTCATCTTATATTCTGCTCGTTGGAAGGTACGTCCGATTCTCTTCCTCGGTCAACCCACTCAATATCCGAGAGAAGGTAGACTTTTGACGGCCGATGATACGTACTTAGAAATAAGCAAATCATAGATAAGTTTTTTTAGTGAAGAAGCCATGTAAATAAAAGAATAGTAGCCATAATCAGTGATACAATAACTGAAGCAAATGAAACAACATCTAATAATAAAAAGAATATATGCAAAAAAAAACACATGAAAATAGAGTCAAAAACCATAATCATACTACTCTATTTCCACACAAAACTCCAAGGAGAATGAACTTTCACTTTTTTCATATATTTTTATAAAACAAAGGATCACAACTTGACTAGCTAAAAGAATAGCACCAAAGCCTCTGTGGCCAAAGAATGAGACTAATCAATTGAACCTATTCTTGTCTACATAATATGCAACTAGCAACAAACCAACTTCAATCTATTATGCTAAATTAGGCTTGAAAATGAAGATGTCAATATGTAAGGAATGTTGGCCATAGGACCTCTCTGGCATGCAAGTTCATGTATGTCCTTCACAATATCAAAGACAGCATTAGGTTGTGCAAGTTTCAGCGCGTTCTCCGACTTCCTTTTAAGCTCATCGCTCTTGGTGGTAAACCATTCAGCAACTATCCTGGCTGTTTCCTTAGGGCGTCTTGTGAAAACACCAGCTCCATTGTCGACCACAAACGGAACATTTCCCTTCTCCTGAAGATACACAAAAAGGGATAAATCAATAACAAGATCAAATAAGCCACCAAGACTCAACTAGTCAACTTCTATAATGCACTAACTTGTCCGGGGATGTAGTCGTTCAGAATAATGGGAAGCCCTCTGATTAATGCTTCTGCAATTGTACCAGGTCCAGCCTGTAAGGCGCAGAAACAGAAGTTTATCAGTTGCGTCAAACAGGCGAGGTAGTTTGTTGTAAAATTAAGCGACAGATTGACATACCTTTGTGATAATGCAATCACAAGCGCCCATCCACTTTTCCATCTGCTTCTGGAATCCCTTGATCTGAACATTAACGAATATTAGATACAGTCAGGCCTCTCTATAATAACATTTTACTATAACTGTCTAATTTTCGTTGGAAAACTTCCATGTTATGTTTTGTAAGCCGTTCATCCTTTTAGGTTGTCGTTCCATTTACCTGAACGGGGATGTTCCATTCGAGTGATTGTAATGTGGATGCTAAGGCTTCATTGCGTCCACATATGACAATCATTTGACCGATAGGTTTGCCAAGTTCCTTATCGAAGAGTGCTTCTCCAAGAGCCTTTGCAGTTTTCTTCACAGGACCCATCCCTTCACCGCCACCCATCAGCAAAACCGCTGGTAATGTGGGATCCATCTCAAGTTCAACTCTAAGGTCATCCTACCGAAAGCATTGAGGAGGAAAATAAAAAGAAGATCACAAATCAATTTTTTTCTCACAAAATAAAAAGGGTAGAAATGTCTCGAGGAAGAAAGAAAGAAAGAGAAATGAGCCTTTTTTCAGACATTCACCTTGGAAAGAACTGCCCGGCAAAATGAAGGTCGAATGGGCAACCCAAAAACACGTATTTGAGATCCTTCCAAGCGATCTAGTGATGCCCTCTTTGCTACCTCCTCAGAGGGGCAGTACAAACGATTGACTCCTGGATGAAACCTGAAATAGAATGTTTTCATACGTCGGATTGTTATACAATATGAATGCATTAAGATTCTAGAATTCGTTAGCTATTTACCATGTCCGGTGGCAAGTGTTGAGATCCGTAATGACGGTTACGAAAATAACTTTTTTGTGTAGGCCTTGCCATTTAAGAACCCATAGAGGAATGTGTTGCATGAGAGGATGAACACTAATGATTATGTCTGGCTTGTACTCCATCAGGCCAGCTTCTACCTCTCTATGAATTCAACAATGCAAACGGGAATTAGAAACCCCTACGGAAGTTGGAACTAAAAAGTTCAACACATTACTTAGAGAACATTCATTCTCCAATTTTCTATTGAATGAGTACCAAATGATCCATATCTTCGAAAAAGATACAAAGAAAAAGATCGATTTCCTATGCAACCATTACAGTAAATGTTTTTTAACATCCTAGTAACGATTTAACGAGGCACAAGTGGTTATTAACAGAGGACAAATCATAGAAAGAGTAAAGTACAAACAGAATCAAGAAAAAAATTAACCCCTAGAAAGAGCATCCTACATATAACAACAAAAAATATTTCTAACTTAATACGAGGCATAAAAAGTTAAAACCAGAGAAGACGGCGACCTACTTAGCATAGAAGGCGGCAATAGCAGCAAGATAGACAGAGTGTATCCAACGAGGCGACGTGCCATGAAATGCTACGCTCCAAAGGCCAACATGTTTAACCATGAACTTGTATTGTTGCTCCATGTTGTTCAATGGCCAGCCAGTGTATTCCTTCCAAACATCCTTGACAAAAATCTGCATGTATAGTCCACATTAGGCAAGATTTATTTCAAATCATGGTAGGTCCAATGCAGCTAAGACTTTTGTATCTCCTACACTGTGAGAATCATATCAAAGTAATAATAAGACAAGAGTTTGGCAAGCTGCTAAAGAAGCTAAATGACATTTTATTTCGCCATAGCTTCTTCACTCCTGTTATTTCTTTTCTCGACCTGCTTTGAAATGTATTTCCTTGAGCCGAGGGTCTATCTGAAGCAAGCTCAGGGATAAGGTCTGGTTACACTCTACCTCCCCTAGACTACATTGATGGGACTACACTAAACATATTGTTGTTGTAAATCAATATGCCATAAAAGAATATAGCTTTGAAGTTACAAAAAAAAGGAGGAGAGAGTCCAAAGTATGTTTTTGCTTAAACCATAGCTTGTAACGTCATTATTAAACATCAAACACGCAATCTGAATATCTGAAACAAGGTTTATCAATTTTAAAATCAAAATCAAAGTTTTCCAATTTTGAGAATAAAAAATTTGACCTCATTAGATGGACCCCATGGGACCACACCCCATTGACATGTACTTAACAACTAAGCAAGCAAATGACAGAAGCTCCAAAAATTCCAAGAACCAAAAACCAATCTGGTTAAACAAAATCAAGACATCAAAGATGCAACATGTGTAATCCCATAGTGAGGTCCAGAGAACGTCGAGGCGCACGCACACCTTACCTCTACCTTGCGAGGTAGAGAGGTCGTCTCTGGTAGACCCTCGGTTAAAGGAAAAGCATATCAAAGCAGATACAAAGGAAAACATGAGAGAATTCTGAAAAAAAAAACAGATAATTGGAGTACAAGGGATAGTAGATAGTAACAAAAATTGGAGGACAAGAAACCACATGAGAAATAAAAGATCAAAGATGTTTAATCAATTAAAAAGGAACAAAAACTAAAACTTACTCTATATTCATCCCCAAATTCTAACTTGAAGGCATCTCGAATTGCCTCAGCTGAAGCCCTATGTCCACCACCAGTATCACTCATCAAAATAAGCACATTTTTAGTCCTTTCAGCACCAATTTGCACCATTTCCATGGTGTCATATTCTTCATCTTGAAAATCACACTTTAATCTCTTCTGGCTGCTACCACCAACAAACCCATAAACCCCAACTCTCTCCAACACTCTGTGTATAGATTTCCTAGGGGTAGTCACATTACTCACCATATTCTAACCTCTTTTTTTCACCAATCCTAACAATAAGTTACCTGAAAAATGTACACAAAGTGTCAAATACCAACCAGCAAAAAGGACAGAGGGGAGGGGAAAAAAGTAACTTTCAACCACCCTTTTACCTGAAATTGGGTTTTCTGGCAAAGATCACAAGAACACCAAAAAGGCTTAAGAAAATCCAAGATTTGGACACCCTTTTTCAAGAAGATGAATGGTAGATATTTAGAGAATAAATGGGGTTGTTAACTTTCTATATCCGGGAAAACATCAAAAGAAGTTGAGTAAAGTGAAAACAGTAACAAGTTTTAGCAACAAATTTTAAGAAAAATCAAAGGTTTGGACTTACAGAGGTAGACAACACAAGTAGGAAGAAAATAGAGTACTAGCAAGACAATTTTTTAGAAAAGTTCAAGATTTCATCACCCTATTTCAGAAAAATGGAGACAACACAGATATGAAAGAAATGAAGAGAAAGATCAAATTTTGGACACCCTTTTCCAGAAAAATGGAGATTATAGAGCTAGACAACACAAGTTTAAAGGAAATGGGGAGAAAGATGAAATTTTGAACACCATTCAAGACCCTTTTCCTTCTTCAGAAAATGAAGCTAGACAGTACAAGTAAGGATGAAAAAAGGGTACCAGTTCAACAAATTCAAAGAAAAATTCAAGATTTATACACCCTTTTTCAGAAAAAACAGAACTTTACATAACAATTCAAGATTTTAACACCATTAAGCACCCTTTTTTCTTCTTCTTCAGAAAATAAAACTAAGAAAGTTTCAATTAAAGTAAGAGAAGAAGGGAAGGTGCTGTTTAAGATACTGGAATGATGCTTTTTTTCAGTTCAAAATAAAAAAAGATTGATACTTTACAGGGAAAACACAATAATGGCGGAGTTTTTCATGGATTTATAGCCGTCGGATTCATTTTTGCTTTGAGAAATTTGGAACGATTCGCATAATAGGGGTAGGAAACTTCGAATGTTCGAATGGACAGATTCGAATCTTTTTTAAGAAGTAGTAATTAGTTTTATAATGGTAATTAGTGATAATCATTTCTTTTTATCATTTAATTAAAAAAATATAATTTTTTAAATATATCGGAGATTTAGCAACGTATCAAAGATTTGGAGATAAACTCTAGAGTTGGCTTTAGGTTAAGAAGGATTAAAATCGAGTATATGAAGTGGAAGCATAAGAGGTGAACAGGAAATTAAGAATTGATACATAAGTCGTTTTCAAAAGGAAAAGTGTCGAGTATTATGTGAGCCTATAATACAAGGGGAGAGATCCACGGGGATGTTTTACGTAAAATTGAAGTAAGGTGGATAAAAATGAATAGTAATATTAGGTGTTGTATGTGATGTAAGAAGATGTCATCGAGACCTAAAAGTAAGTTTTATAGAGTGATTGTTTGATTGATTAGTATTGTTAGGACAAGATTAAGAATGAAGATATACAAAGTAAGGTGAGAGTAATTTATGTGATGGACAAAATACGAAAATTAAGACTGGAATGAGAAAAATTGTGAAGGATGTCCACAGTAAAGAGAAAAAACTATAACCGTGGGGATTTGAACTAGAAAAACACATTCTTGTACACTATTGCCACTAAGCTAGTGCTCTATTCCTAGAAAATTATTCTGTCTTTTAATTAAATAACCATTTTAAAGCAGACCACATTAAATAAAATATACAAAATATTAATGTTGAGATTCAAACTTGGGTATTAGGAACGTATTTGAGCACACTTTTACCACTGAGCTACGACTAAATAGTAATTTTGAGGGTGTCCAAAATACTTAATATAACAATATAAAGTAAGATTTGGCCTATATATATAACGAAATTTTTCGACGAAGGGTGTCCAATTACTGTAGCTCCGCACCTGAGGTGGAGTTAGATTGAGTAAGAACTGAGAAGAAGTAAATTAGGCATGACACGATATATCTTTAGCTTACAGAAGACATGATTCTAGATAAAGAAATATAAAATTCGATGACTAGATGAGGGTTTTAGTCTCGAAAGTTGTTTTTGTTTCCTTAACAGTATTATCACTATTGATATGTTGATATTATCTTATTCTTTGATTTTATTATAATTTTTTTTTTATTTTGATAATTTTACTATTTTGTTGTTGGTTCTTTTTCTTGTTCAATATCTTTACATTTTACTATTTTACTCTGGCATCTCTTTCAAACAAGTTCTGAAAATAATTTTTTTGAGTCGAGAGCCTATTACAAAAAGAGGACAAAATTTGTACAAGTTTTACCTTCCTCTTAACGTATTTGTGAAACATTATGGGACATGTTATTGTTGTTGTTATTAAAACTGTTGTTATAAGAAGTTGTTGCGGAACATCCGAGTGTACAAATTTCATTTTTTTAAAAAAAAACTATTCAATTTGATGGTTATTTTTGTTATTCGTGAAATGATTATTTTATTTGATTGAATACGATATTTTTTTTAAAAAAAAAAAGTTTAATCACATATGTTATAAACATTTCTCTTGCTATAAAAGCATGTCATTTAAGTTAAATTTATTTTAGATAATACAAAACAACATACATCTCATAAAAAAGAATGTGTAACTGAATTGATATTTTCTTGATTTAATATTGTTTAACATTATTTCCTTATCAATCTTTCGAAAGAAAATAATATATTTTTATATTTTTTTAATTATAAGTATTTATTACTTCACAAATAATACAATAGTTTGAAGTCATAAGTTTCAAAATTTCATAATCCTTACATATATAGAATACTTATAATCACAAGTTTAGAAAGTTCACACTTTCTTTGATTAATTTTATGTCAAGTTAAATAATAACGACAATTTAATAAAATTCCGAGATTTTTGTGTTTTTGGCCCTATTAGTTTGATGGAAAACTTTCAAATTATTGTTAACTATATTAAAAGTTATACTTTTAATCATTTTTTGTCATTGTCAATTTACAGTTGTGTTAAGCCTATGAGTGTTGGCATCACTTTCCTTTATAATTGTGGCCTTCCATTTATTAATTTGCCTAAAAATAATTATAATTTTTTCATACATAGCTTTCATGGGTCATGATTAGCTTTTAATTAATTAGACAATTTTGGAAATATATTTTGTAATAATTTCAAAGATCTTTTTAAGGTATCAATTTATAATACTAATTCTTTTTAATTTGTGATATTATTTTTTTATTTTTTTTTAGTAATATTTACCTCTGGAATAAATTTCGATATTAATCGTGTGTTAAATTTATGTCTGATACTATTTCTATAAACTTGCAAAAGAATAATTGTAAAAATAGGAATATTCACACAAAAACTTGCAAAATACATACATATATTCTTTTTTTTGAATTGAAAATTAATTATTTGAATTAACCTTAAGAGTTAAGATATTAGTACAATTTTAAAAAAGAGTCTATTTTTGTTTGAATATTTAAGTTTGTGGGGGGGGGGGGGGATGACACCCCTCATATTTAATTGTGTGTACTAATGATTTGACTATTTGGGAAATAAAACTAAGATAGTTGGTGGAAGTTAAGTAGGACAGATATATTATATGATATCCACACAACAAAGAAATTGGCAATTATATTTTCTTTACTACTAATTATAAAAATATTTACACAATTTTAAATAAGGAAATGAAATTTTAGTAAAAATATGGATCCCTAATTAGAACAATTAAGAAGATAAAAAAAAAATTACTTAAATTTGAGCATTTATGAGTTTTTTTTAAAAAAACTCCAAGAAATTTTGCTAACACTAAAAAAAAACATAAACTTATATATGTATTAGAATTGAGATCATAATCAAGGTTTAATTTGTATTTTAAGATTAGAAAAAGTTACTGAAATACACGTCTTATGTTTTCCTTTTTTTCAATATTTCCTTCTATTTCTAAAAATTTTTAAAATCTCTTATTTTTTTAATGTATCTGAGTTACATATTAATGAATCCGAGCCAATATTTAATGTATCCGAGTTATATATTATGTATTTGATTTATTTTAGAAAAAGGGTCTGATTTATCCCTCAACTTTGTCATTTAAAATTGATACACCCCTTGTTATGAAAGTGACTCATATATACCCCTACTTATAAACAAATGACTCACATATACCCATTTCCTCTAACGGATATGAAAATATAATAATTTTAATCTAATTTTTTATTTTTTTTAATCCCATATGAGTAAATTTAATCCTCGTCAAACATATTTTTTTTGACTTTTTTTGTTTTAAAGACTAATTTAGAATTATTATTTTTATAATTAAATTTATTTTTGTTTCACTAATATTCTTGTAAAACTTATAGTAGATAACCAAATTTTTTCTTCGAATACACAAATTAAATTACAATATAGACATAAAAAATAGTTTTAAATATTTTTTCTTTACACTAAGGAATGAAAGAAAAAAATAAGAAAAAGAAACTCAAATAATTATAATAAAAGAAGTCAAATAATAATATATGTATGAAAAAAATTAAAATTTACCTTGAACTTTGACAGAAGAATCATATATATCCCTAAATAATTTTTTAGAAAAATTAAAAGTAAAAAATATAAATTTGAAACTAATTTTTTTTCATTTTCATTAAATGAAGGATATATGTTAGCTCATTTTTAACGGCAGCCGTTTGTATAACGGTAAGGGTATATATGAGTCACTTTCGTAACGAGGGGTATATCAGCTCCAAATGACAAAGTTGAGGAGTATATCAGACCCTTTATTTTATAATGTATATGAGCTAATCTTAATGTATCCGAGCTACATATTATGTATTCAAGTTAGTTTTTAATGTATCTGAGCTACATATGATGTATGTGATTCATGTTATAATGTATCCGAGATATTTTTTAATGTATTCGATTTATATATTTATGTATCATGTTTGTGTTATTTTCTAAGGGATTAATGGAATAACAAATTAAAGAGAGATTAATTATAATTTCTTATTAAAACTAAGTTATTCCTAAAATTTATCATTAATATTATATTTCTTGGGTTTCTATTTGCAATCCTTTAAAAAAAATACTCCATTAGATTTTTTGTTATTTTTCACGTGTTGTTGCTAAAATATAAATTGTGGATTTGCCCATTCACTTGACTAAATTAATAATTAAACATCACCTAATTTATCAACCAATCACATATAATGTGCCTCTAACTATATTAATTATAATTTTCCCAAACTTATATTTTATAGGGATATAAATAAAATAATATTCCCAGAATGTATATATAAACAATCTATAATTCTCTCTCCATTCAACTAATTTCCCAATTGATCCATTTTAATACACATATTTGTATATGTCATTTTTACAATTTCACTCCAAATTAACCATAAATTTTAACAAAATTTCAATTTTCAAATACTAACCACACGTTTTGAACACGTGAATAATTCTTAACCACACGTTTTGTTTTACGCTCTTACCACCAAACTAAAGCCTTAGGTGCTTAGAAACATAGTAATTACTAATTTGCGAGCATAATCAAATACATACCATATAATTTTCCACCGAAATACCTAAATCTTGAAACCCCTTGCCTTTATCTGGCTCCACCCCAGTTTCAATGCAGAAAAAGAGAAATAGCCGAATAATAAGTTGCTTCACCACTTAAATAACGGCCTTTTGTTCTCAACAAAAGTTCAAACACGTGACTACACATCATGTGTTACACTCTTACCACCGAACCAAACATAGTAATTTGCATGAACTAACCACAGTATCATGCAACATTTAAAAAGTTACCATACATCATCCACGTTTATCATTTTTCAACTTCTTACTATAGATACAAACAAAAAAAAACATTCAAAATCATGTACAAGATTGTATCTCCTTAGATGAAACCAATCTCCAAAAAGATGAACAGGTAAAAAAGCTGACTTACTACTCAATCCAGTTCTACTGATGCATCGACGTGAGAAACCAAGCCGAGACAAATTGGACAGGGCGGA